ATTTTTTAATAAACAGCTTTCTTAATAATTATTTCAATTGAGTATAGTAAACTTTAAATGACAGTTTAGATATTAGAAAGATAAATGTTTTTATGCATGTCAAACTTCATACATTCGACACATACAAAAAAAGTCGAAATGGCCCACATCTATGAGACAATTTTTATACATGCTACTTTCACAGGACGTGCAGTAGCTGATGAATAGTCAATAAAGAACGAATTTCTAAGTATTTTGCATATATTCCAATAGTACTAAAATGTGAGAAAGCGATCTTTTTAAAGATGCGTCGCTTACTTCTGTATAATATTGCGTATTTCAACTGATTCTATTAGGATTCGTTACTTTGAAATTGACGGCGAAAAAGATATGTCTAAAATCTACGACTTTCAAAGACAAGCATTTTGTCCATGTTTATTCTAAGCGTTTTAACTCTTGAGTAAAGTTTTCTTCAGTCTTTCAATTAGTTTGAACCAACAAACGGTAAAAACATGCCACTAATGAAGAATTTTTAAAATTTTAAAATTGATTTAATTATCTCGAAATAAACACTATTTTTAATGCACAAAATGCATTCCTTAACGTGTCAACTTCACTGGTGTGATATTTATATACTTGCGTTTATGAAGATTTTCAGAAATAAGGATAAAATTGCACCCACAATTTCACATATGAATAGCAATAGCATTAGCATCCATTTTTTGCATTAACAATAATGTTTATGCCGAGACAAATAAATCAATTTTGAAACTTCTAAAATACTAAATTAGTGATATGTTATTACTGTTTGTTGGTTCAAAGTAATTGAGAGACTGGAAAAAACTTAACCAAGAATTCAACTGCGTAGAATAAAAATTGACGAAAAACTTGTCTTTGAAAGTTGTAGACTTTAGGCGCATCTCTTTTATCTCCACATTCAAAGTAAAGTATCCTATCAAATCAATTGTAATATGTAAGATTGTGAGATTTTTAAAAAAAATTCGTCTTTAAAAATATCACTTTTTCAAGTTTCAATACTATCAATGTCTATCCGAAATACTAAGGAATCCATTCTTTGGGTCACTTGTTAGACGAGCTTCTTAAAGGTGGAATAATTTTTATTCTATATCTTTACGTGTCACTAAAAGTTTGGTTTTTGAATGAGTGTATTCATAGATCTAGGTTGCTTGAAGTATCAAATTATACTTCAAGCAATCCAGATCTATGGAATATGGTTGTGTTATCTTAGGATACACTCAATCCAAAAATAGAACACGTAAAAATGCATGAAACTTCTTAAACGAAACTGATATCGTAAAAAGCATGCATTTTTATAAGGTTCTTCAAAAACATTTGTCTGACTGAGTACTGTATAAACCCTTAGAATATGAAAGTTCGAGAAAAACTTGATTCCTCATATATAATTTGATGGGCTGTCAGTTGCTCTACAAAATCACATATGATTTCCTGGTTCGATGTGGGTCATTAAATCTAGCAGTTCTTTAGGTTTAAAAACGTTTCATGATAAAATGTCCTAAACAGCTGAAAACATTTTATTGTGTTCAGAAATGTTGACTGCATCACCACAGTCTCGAATCCAGTGGGTCTGCTGAATGGCGCGCTTACTCCGACGTCGAAACAGCCATAATTGAAGAAGCATTTCAAAAGGAATTGCCCGAAGCTGTACTTGACAATTATATCATCTGTTTCAGAAGTTTTGTTCAAGTATCTCGCTTCGATACAGGTAACCAACGACCCATAAAACGACTCACCGACCGACCAATAGAGAAACTAAGAGAGAAACGCTTCATGCCCAATCCTATCAACCCTTCAGCTCCTTTTGGACATGCTTCTCTAGGACGTTTTCGTAGAGCAACCCATCTACTTTTCAACCTCCCTGGTTTTAGCTACACACACGTAAATAGCTCATTACATAACCGAGTAAATCGTCGAGCAATGGTAAAAAGAGCAGCCGAAGGCATCATTATAGAAGGAAAGAAGGTTGGCAAAAAATGTGAAGCAGAATGGATAGCCCAACAGCTTCTCAACGTCATTGACGGAACGACAGCAGAAGTTTGGCGTGTATGTGCACGTCTTTACACTATGGAATCGTTTCTCTATAAAAAATTGAATGAGTGCATGCGGCTTGACGGAGACGAAGAGTATGAACAGTTGTGGATGAGCAAAGTGGACACTTTCGGTCCTTTTTCTCTTCTTCTGTATTACTTGGGAGAATATACCGATGGCAAACTGACGGTTTATCGAGGATGCAATCTGAGCGATGATCTGATTGAAAAATATCGACAAAAAGCCGCTGGTACTTTACCAAGCGAGTTAGTTGTATTTCCTGCGTTCACATCGACCAGTAGAAACCGACAAAAAGCAGAAATAATTGGTAATGTCCTTTTTGTCATCAACATTAATGGAGGCTGCGATGGCTGTGATGTTTCACCCTACTCTCTATTCGATGAAGAAGAGCATCTACTAGCTCCTTATTTTATGTTCTCTATTGAATCATGTGAGTTTAACCAAGACGATGGCAAATGGATTATTCATCTTGAATCGCCCCACGCCAATAGTATAGCAAATAATGCGACCTAGTTTATATACTGAACTATGGTTGTATAGAACTATACTAATACAAGAACGTGACGTTTCCGGCTGACTTTAGGGTGTGTCATTATCTACTCTTACTGCTTTATCGAACTAAATGCTCATACATGGTACTTAGTCTTTCTTTGTTCTTTCATTGTCATTTTCTTTGTCATTCACTTGTCATTTCTTCTTATGTGTCCTTTGTCTTCACATTCTTTATCCTTCCTTCGTAACGATGTATCATTCAACATATATCTCTCTCCTTGACTCTTTCTCATCTCCTTTCGTTTTGTTTGCACATGTAAGAACACGTTCTGATGTATGTAGCTCTGTGGTTTTGTGTTATGAACAAAAAGGAATGAAGTATAACCTCACCTGGAATAACACTTCTTCTATCAGGAATCGTTATAAAAAAAACTCTTAGTTGTACTGTAAAAGAGCATGAAAAAAGAAAATCGTTACATTCTTTACTTAATTTTATTGTACGATTTCGCTTGACTCAAAATCAATGGAATAGACTACATTCATTGAAGAAGATGTAGTTATGAGTGTGTTTAAAAATGTTTGATATATCAAAGTTTCAAGATGAGTAATCCGTCAACAAGAAGACCACCGATCTATATTTGATTGGTATTGATAGCGAATGAGTGGCCAATAGAAACCAATTTGTTCTTGTTATTACAGTTTGATGGTTCATCAGAGAGTTTAGTCACGACGATGAGTTGAATGGACGCGAGCGCCAGTGATCATAAATAAAAGAAACGTCAAAGAAATACTCGATTGGAATTCTCGATTTTTGAACAAGGGCATATCAATGTCCAAGAATACTTCGAGAGTAAAGAGTGAAGTTGATATCTCGTGAATGAAAATATGATGAAATTGCATGTCTGCTGTTCTGATCTGACGAAAACTGTGACGGAAAATGACATGAAATAGAGTTGAGTGGTCAGAAACTGATTCTTCTTTTAAGACTTTCTATGAAACAGATTGATCGGGATTAAATGCAGTTTAAAACGTTTGATCATCAGTCAATCTTGCTGAATAATATGAGTAACTAGAGATCACAACGAATGCTACACTTGGCAATAATAAAGAGATCGTTGCAATTGTTGAAACTCAATGAGTTTTTCTTCTTCTGTGTGTGAACTGATTAGTACATTATCAATTTTACAAAATAGTCACACATTCCATTATCCGACTAAAGACCAGATAACTTCATTCACCAGTACTATCTGGACGAATTTCAACCATCGAAAGCTGTTCTGTCAAGAGCAAATTTATTAAATCAACAAGATGTCATTGTGAGTCTATTTTCTTTGTGTGTCGTCAGTTCGAGTCACTTCAAGGTTTTTTTTTGGTGAAATAGTTTCAACAGAGATGAAATTGACAACTCTGGGCTCAGTGTGATACACTTGACCTTGAGATAAGGAATTCATTTTTCATACAGACCGTTACTTCTCTTCGCTAGAAATTTCAGCTCTCCAATCCCTCAAAAGAGCCTTTTCATGTACGTTAATATGTTTCCCATTTGCAAAAGACAGTCAGCACAGAACTTTGCAAAAATTACTCACTATAAGATAATTACTTGTGTTGACACTTTCATGATCATTATCAAATAAATACTAGGTAGATAACCTTAACGTAAGATACGAAGCTCATTTGAATAATTTCGAATGCATCTATTCGTACAACTGACTTTGATACTTCAGCAACGATCTTCCGAAAAACTCAGTTGAGATAATTATGGATAGGTGGAAAGATATTGAAAAGAACTTATTCCTTTGTCTTCTGTTTTCAAACTCAAGACAACCTGACTTCCAGTTGATTCATTCGTGCTACAACTTCTGTTTCAGATTAGTTTTCACTCGGTGATTGATACCTGAAGCCTACCAAGTTCAAACAAAACATTGTTTTTACTATGAGTGATGATAGCTATTGTGTGCGTATCATCTAGGGCAAAGCATACATAGGTAAACGACAACAAATGATGACTCCATTTCTAAATCAACGTCATTCGGTCAATAATGATGTTATCAAATAAGTAACACTGCAGGCTGATATAAACCTGCCCTTAGTTTGTCTTTTTGTATCATTCTTTGCTGTTAACTTGCATTTCAATATCACCAATATACTTATGACGTTTGCTGCTCTAGTATCGGTTTTACTTCTTTTCGTACCACAATCGATCATTGGTGAACCAATAATTCGAAACAATTCCATTACGCTTTGATGTAATCATCCAACAATTGCGTGGTTTTTATCAACGTTATCCAGATATTGCAACCAATCTGGTGAACACACCCATTGCAACAATTCGACCGGAGTTACTATTAACTAACATATCATTTTCAACCAATCAGAGTACTGCTTGTAAACGAGATTTGGAAATATTAATAACTGCGGCATCTCGACGTCAATTATGGGCAATGAAAGTGTTCGATGCTTGGGGCAAACCACTACCATCTGGTTTACTGAAAGGAAATGTCTTCTGGCTAGGTAATTATGATGAATGTATTAATCCATTGTATCAAATAAACAATAAATCTTTCGTACGACAACTAATAGATACTCAATATTGTATGTAGATTTTCTTTGCATCAATATTTAGAGAAATGAGATTTGTTTTCTTCAGGTGCTCTCCAATCCAATCCCAATAAACAACAAGTAGCGGTAAGTTCTGGTTTAATACTTGGTCTCTGTTTGCCAGCATCTTGTACTCGCCAGTCAATTGTCACACTCATACGCGAGATTTTTAAACTTCATAATTTGACTAAAGATTACTTACATTGTTCCAACGATCGTTCCAGTGAACAGATTGGTATTTCGTCAGGTACCATTGCCTTTAGTATCGTTCTGTCACTCTTGGCTCTAATTGTATTGACTGGGACAATCATTGATCTTGTAGTTCATATCTACTATATTAAGACGAACAAGAATAAAAAGTCACCTATCAACGGATGTCAAGATTTATCGGACGAAAGTTCNAATTCGATTTTTAATGATTGAGATTTCAATCGATTGAGCAGATTATAAGCGATTGCCTGATTTAAATCCGATTTTAGTTGAGTTAATCAAAAATAATTGATTGGGTTGATTGTTTTAAGAATCGATTTCAGCATTTTAATCAACTTTAATCGGATTATTCTTGAAATGGTAGAAGTTTTGTTGGAAAAATCGGATTTTTTCGTCGGTAATCAAAAATAATCGGGATTTTCTTCGGAATATTTTTCACTGGGAATTATCTCCTCTTTTTTTCCATTGTTTTAAAAATAAAATATGATGATCTATTTTCATTAATTGTTGATATAGTTTTTCTAAGTTAAGTGCTAAAGCATATATTGTCTTATTATAGAGATTATAAGAGTCATTACGAGTAATTTGGAACGTCATTGTAAACGATTATTGTGAGAAATTATTCTCTTCTTTTTCATAGTATTAATGTAATATATTCTTAATTTAAAATTGTTTAATTCATTCAAATAAGTCTAATTAAATCTATAATAATTTTACTATGCTTTAATTTTAAATTATATAAATATTAAAATAAAAGTAATAAAATAGAATGAAATAAATCAATTAACCAAATCAAAAGAATTGTGCAATTTTCGAAAAACGAAGTTGCCTTCATGAGACTTCTAGGTTTATGACAATTTTTTTTTAATTCTTTAAAATTTTTCCTTTTTTTTCGGATGTTTCACATATGATAGTGGAACGAAGCAAGAGAAAAATAATCTATCTATCCTATCAGTATTACCGCCTGGCCGTCCCATTATCATATGTGAAACATCCGAAAGAAAAAGAAGAATCTTAAAGAATTAGAGAGAGAACTGTTATACACCTGCAAGTCTGATAAAGACAACTTTGTTTTTCAAAACGTCAGACTTTTAACAATGATGTTTTTTGAAATTGTATAATTTATTTAGATTTGGTTAATTGGTTTATTTCATTCTATTACTATTATTTTAATATTTATATAATTTAAAATTAAAGCATAGCAAAACTATTATAGATTTAATTACACTTATTTAAATTAATTAAAGAATTTTAAATTAAGAATATATATTACATTAAAACTATGAAAAAGAATAGAATAATTTCTCAAAATAATCATTTACAATGACTTTCCTAATTACTCATAATGATACCCTATGCGTGCATTTCTGCCTTCACATGTTTTTGTATTTTGATCATCCCACTAAATATATTTGTTTCGATCGACAATAAAGGTAAAGAAAATACCGTCATGAAGATGAATCAAAAGCGATTGAAAAATAAACGAAATATTTGCATCGATTATTCATCTGACACATACAAAGAAAGTAAATATGCATCAAAATCCTGTAGTATCGAAAAAAATATTTTTATCGTTGTTTTGTATCTTACTGAGTTTCTTACATATCATGTGATAGTTTTATCGTACATTATCGACCAGTTTAATCGTGTGCGCAGGCTTTTATGTCAACATTAATCAATTTAAATTTTGATTTGTGCTTTTGTTTTTTTGTTTTTTTCTTCTACTATGTCTCTTATATATATATATATATATATTTCTTATCATAACTAATACTCAGTATGCTTTTTGTTCATTTTCATCTTGCATCATTTATTCTTGTTTTTTAATCATCCTTACCTATCAATTTCGGTGTACTTTCATCTTAATTTGTTGTGAAGAAAATTTTATCATCTAGTATACCGTGCATTGAACGAAAAGATGGGCAATTATGTCACATTGTTGGGCATATTTCTTCTAATAGTGTCTTCGTGGACTGCTGAAAATGAAGCAAGAAAATCTTCTTCATCTGTACTGTATGTTTGGTCAGGACAAGATCGTTCCGTTCCAAATGCTGCTGATTTCGTTGCTGTAATCGACTTTGATGAAAAGTCTCCTACCTACGGGAATATTTTAAGAACAGTTTCACTTATTTCAGACCCAGTCAACGGCATTGGACAAGTCGGAAATGAGCCACATCATTCGAGTATTTCTGCCGATGGTCGTTATTATGTGACCGGTGGTCTTCTCAGCTTTCTTTCTGGAAATAAAGAAGTATTTGTCTGGCATATTCCCAAAAATCCTAGAGAAGGTCCGCAGTTTCTCTATGCACTTAATGTATCAGGCGCCTGTGTAGACGAATTTTTGCCAATCGGTCGCTCTGAATTTCTTGTGAGCATGATGTGTAATGAAAAAGCTGCCAATCCAGGTGATATAGTGTATTTCAATGCTGAAACTCGTATGACAAAATCTATCCTCAAAAATATTTCAGCTTTCATCGATTTTAATCCACATGGATTCGGTCAACTTTCTAATGGTTCAATTTTCGTAGGAGACTATCTTGAACCAATAACATTAGTTGGCACCAATCCATCACAAATTATATTTCGAAATACGGCTCGACATATTCTTCCTGATGGAACATTAGAACGTACATTTCAATTCCAATTTCCTACGACACCTGGATCATCAACTGGAATTGGAGTGGGCATTGGATTTATGGAACTTAAACCTATTCCTGGTGATCCATTTGGACGTTCTTATGCCTGTGGTACTAGTGTGAACAATATATATCTAATCGGTCCAGGAATGCCTCAGCCTATCTTAGCTATTGATCTTTCTCAAGTGAATGGAAATCAAAAACGCATTAGTGCTGGTCTATTATCCTTTTTTTCGAATGGTCAACGTCTGTTGATGACATTTCAAATGCGATACATTATTCTAGCCAATACAACAAGACCAGAAAAACCGAACATTCTTCGTGTATTCGATTTTTGCACTGATCCAACACTCAAATATGTCACAATTGGTATTCCTGATTCATTCGAAAAAACTACTTTTGCCAAATTCTGTACTCAAAATAATAATATTACTGGTTCACACGCTGTTTTAAAACCAAAATATGAGAATCGATTCATCGTGATGAACTATTTTCTTAAATTTGGCTTGGCTCAATTTTCTGGTACACGAACTGTACATGCATTTAAACTCAATAAGGATTTGACTGATTTCGAATACGATCATAAATTTAATCCTAATTTTCAATTGGATCATTCACGCAAAAGGCAACGTCGGACATTCCATTCACTACAAGCATATCCACATCATGCTCAATATTTGAAATTAAAGAAATAGAAATATTCTTTACCAGACTTTAAAACATCATCAATAGACATAAAATTTTATTTTATGAACTGAAAATGCTGTGTTACATAGTGCTTCACTTCTGCCCTCTTCAATCTAACTATTATACATATATTCTTATTTTTTTCTTTTTCTATTCATCTTTTACATCTATACTTTTTTTTGACATACTCACTTTTCCTAACTGACGTCTTTGTTGAGTAAGAAAAATCATTGTCTTATTCTTTCTATTCTTCATTTTCTACAAAGACGGACGTTTCTTCTCGACTTCTTCTCTAGTTCGTCTATTGTCTCTCTCCTAGGTATGTATACTTCTTGTTTTCTTCAATAAAAGATGAGATATCCATTTATACAGAAGATAATATATATGTAACTCTTTGCTCGATCAATCATATAGAACTTTTTTTTTTCTATAAATAAAGTGCGGCACTTTTTATTGTAAAGTATGCCACATGCGGTATAATTTTTTTTTAATTTGTAATCATGAATGAATTCCATTAAAATTAATCAAAACAACAACGTTGTTGAAAACATCACAAAATCATAAAAAGACTTATCCGAAATATTCACCTGAATATCATAGAAGCTACGTCTGGATGTGGATGTGGGTGATGTGAATGCATACCGACATCATCTTATAATTTCTTATCTATGGAAAAAGTTCTAGACTTGAAAGTGCATAATAATTTACTAGCAAGTAAATGTTAAAAACCTTGGAAGTTTCGAAGAGTTTGCTTCTCATGAGTATAAGAATGTTGAACTGAATTGTTAGCTCAGTCTTTACAGTACATGTAGGACACGATTCAATGTATCTTCACCTGCTATTCCTAATGATAAAAACTGCAGCTCTATCTTGTTCTCATAAAAGTTATTCAAATAATACTAGCTCGACCTCTATTTAAAAAGTAATTAGTGATACAACACATTCTATAGAAGAGAACCAGATTTTATCTTACTTTTATTATTCAGATATCACCTCAAAAATGTTAACATAACATTGAAAAGAACACGAAGCATCGTTTTCTCTATTATTGTATAAAAAAAAAGAAAATCTTCTGAAGTTCTCTATACGGTCATAACGTAAATTCGCCTCTACATTTAGATTGCCACAGCTAATTTTATCTAAACAGCTTTCATACAATATCAATGTCGTCATTAATTTTTATTTCATGTCAATTTTCTACATAAACGATTTTCAATAATATTTTACTTTTGATACGACTCGTTTCGGTCACTTTCACATCAGAAGGATTCCAGATCATGAAAAATGAGAAATACTGCCTCGATAGTTTGAGGCATGCTATTAGCAGATTATTAAACATGTTTCAAGCCATAAGATACTTAGCAGAAAGAATGAAACAACTTGCATTTATTTTGAAAACCGTTAATGGACAGTATTCGCTGAATAACTCTGATGCGGCTCAAGAGAAATTAATGGAATTTTTAATGGCAATAGATCTAAACAATCTCAGCGTATGATAAAATTTTAGAGAGTTTGATTTTGTTACTAAGAAGTTACAGGTGTTACGATGTGAAGAAATGAAATTTCATAACGCATGAGCACGCCGCTTTATTTGCGTTATCTACTATTACTTTTCAATTAAAACTTTATTCTTTTTCTGAAGTGTATTCTCAAGTACATAAGTATACTTTTATTTCTAACAATATAGATCTCTCTAAATCTGTTTTTTACTATTCACTATTTATTGTAATTTTCCAATTAAAAAAACGAATTTATATGTAATCAATTCTATTTAAAGCATAAGCAAAGAAAAACTAGATATAATATATTATGGTATGGGTTTGTTAGTGTTAGCTCGTTTCTCGAGCTTAAGTTTATTTATTCATTTTAAGAAAAAAGCCTCTCTTTACATTAGTTACACGTACGCAAATGTACATAGAGAAGAGAAAGAAAAGAAAATAATAATGTTGATAAAGAAAAGAGAAAAAAAGGTGAAGAGAGATCTAGGGAAAGTTAGTGGTGATTCATCACTAATATTCCTTTCCTCCCTATTGCATGTGTGTCCTCACACATGAATGTCATGTTCATATGATCAAAATAGCGTAAAATGTGTAAAATTTTGAGATGTAATTTCAAGATGTGGATATGTTTGACCTTGTTTTGACAGATGACGAGTGAGATCTTGTTAAATTTTGACGGAGGATCCACATGTTGTATGTGTCTCGTATCACGTATTAAGTTTTCGATAATTGTGCAATACTAGGAGATTTTTGAAAACCAAAATATATCAAGTGATTTTTGATGTCCTTTTTGATATCACATTGCTAATGTTGGTTTTTCGTTAATAACTCCTCTGAACAAAG